GGTGTGCAAAAACTGCTGTCTGGCATGTTTGGAAACAAAAGCCTGTGTTATTGAGACTTAAAAAGAGGATGCAAAATAGATTTATAATTATTGTAATTAGAATAAAAGCATGATTGCACTGAACTTAAATCCTGGTCCAAATTTCATACACATGCACAAACCATCTAAACAGAAATTAACTTCATAATTAATATTGGATCATTCCTATTACAAAAAGGCACTATTAATTATTGATGATAGTTGTGCTTTTCCCGAGCCGTTTCCATCTTTTCCCCTCCAGTTCATGGAGTGCTGGGGGTAATTCAGCATGTACAAATAAATCACTCAGAGGTGCGTAAGTTACTTTACTCCATGCTCCTGCAGGAGGACCTGCTCCTGGATGTTCTTATCAAGCAGATTATAGAGGGGCATTTGTTTGCACAAGCAGAGCTAGAATATTCTCTTTAGAGTTCAGCTTCCTCCTTTCATCCCACCCACCACCAGACACTTCCTGACATTTCTCCTGCAGGCAGAGCAAGGCAACTGCCTTTTTTTTTTTCCTTTTTCAACGGCTGCTCCTTCGGTTATCTGTGGGTGGTGGGGGAAGGGGATGTTATCTCAACAGCAAACACAGCCAGAGCAAGTCTGGGAATGAGGGGGAGTTTCAGGATGGAAATAGGCCCCTGCCAGCCCTCGTGCGTCTGTGTCTCTATGACTAAGCGTTCGCTTTTTAAAACCTGGCTTTTCTCTTTCCTTGATCCTTGTTGTTTCCAAGTCTCCTGTTCCCCTTTGTCGTGGCAGCTCCTGACATCACCAGCTCCAGGGAAACGCAAATCCCACCCAGCACGTGGAGGGATAAAGCCAGAGCAGCTCCTGAGCTGGGACACAAACCCACGTCCTCACTGTCCCTGGGTCTCCCCTGTCTGCACAGGGCTCAAGAGGAGACACCACTGCAATTGTTTTTACACTGAAATATTCCCTGTATTTTCTTACAGCATTACAGTCCTGCCTCAAAAGAGTTTGCAGTATGCAAGCACCTAAAATTAAGAGGTCTCCACAGTTTTGTCCATCTCTGGGACAGAAAAGGCCACTTGCTGCTCATCTCCACATCCCTTCTCAGTCCATGACAAGGACAAAGGAGTGCATAAGCACCAAATGGTTTAGTGGTGAATATGGTGGTGGTGGTGTGTTGATGGTTGGATTTGGTGATCTTAGAGGTCTTTTCCAACATAACAATTTCATGATTCTTTGTGGCTACAACATCTGCATCAGCCATGTTTTCCTGAGCCCATCTCCCAAAGCTGTCCTGTTTGGATTCTCACTGGAAAGGAAACAAGATTATTTGTTGTTATTAATTTGTGTTTGGCCTGAAATGCACAGCAGGGCTGTCCCACCTGCAGCTGGAATTCTCTGGAGAGACCCCACACTGGAGCAGAGGCAGGAGTGCTGAGCCTCAGCCCATAGGGCTGGCAGGTTTGCAGGAGTGCCCAGCCCCACTCCATACAGCTAGCAGGTTTTCTGGGTGATCTATATTCAGCTGTGCATGCCTGTGGGGATGTGCAAAGATCATTCATCCAGTTCACTGAACTGCAGCCTGCCTGTGGAGGGGGTTTCATGGTTCCTTTTTAAATGTCACTGGTTTAAAGAGGAATAGTCTCACACAGGATTGTGCAGCAGATTGGAATATGGACACTCCAGGGGTGAATTAAAAAGCAATTAAAAAACAATACTGTGCAACAATCTTATCTTTTCCCTACCTTATCCAGGCATTTATCTTGGTCTGTTCTGCTGGAGTCACCACCACATTATCTACTTTTAGCCACATTTGTGCACAGACAGTTCATGTAGAATCACAGAATCATGGAATGGTTTGGGTTCAAAGGGACCTTAAAGATCATCTTTTTTCAAGCCCTGCTATGGGCAGGGACACCTTCCACTATCCCAGGCTGCTCCAAGCCCCATCCAACCTGGCCTTGGACACTTGCAGGGATGGGGCAGCCACAGCTCATCTGGGTAACCTGTGCCAGGGCCACTTGTGACCACATAGGGCCCCCTGTTCCCTCCTGCCAAATATCCCACCTAACCCTGTCCTCTGGCAATGACCCTTTTTGTCCTGTCACTCTAGGCCCTTGGAAACAGTCTCTCTCCATCTTTGCTGTTGTCCCCTTCAGGCACTGGAAGGCCACAGTCAGGTCTTCCCAAAGCTGGGCCAACAACACCCAAGAGTCAAGAGCCCAAACAAGCTGAAGAATGTCCAGCTCTGGTTCCAACACCCTTCAGAGAATGGGCTCGGATATCTCAGACCACACCAGGGTTGATCTAGCTTTAAATGGTGGTTCTCACTGTCACTTCTTCATCTGTCCATTGTAGTATCAGCCTCAGCAAACCTGCAGCAGGCAGAGATTTCAACAGCTTGTGGCTGATCTATGACTTATTGTAGTGACAGAATTCTCACAGAATATTTCATACAGTGATCTGAAAGCATTTTCTGTTGGATGTTGAAAGTTCAGATATTTCCATCACACCCTGGTTTACTTAGGAGAATCATGCAATGACACAAAGATGTCTGTTCCCAATAAAATGCTTAAACAAGTTCATTTTATACCATGCTTTGGAAATCTACAACGTAGCTCCAAGATGTTACAGTAGTTTTGTTGAGTCTTGTGATGCCAGTGGAGTTCTCCTGGTATTTGAGGTTATCCTGAATGGCTGAACATTTGGCACTGGGATGACACAAAAACTGAGGTTTAGTCAACACAAAAACACGCACAGTTTCTAAACTCCAGCCTGAAAACATGAAGGCAGCTTTGGCAAAGCCTCAGAAACCAGAGGGTAAAAAGAAAAAGCAAGTTTATTTTATTAAATATCTTCATTCTTAAACCAAACTCAAAATTTTAAGGTCTTCCTCCTACTTGAATTTCTCAGCATTTTAATTATGTTAATATTTATTTTTTATTATATTTATTATGTAATCATTTTATTTCTCTATTTTCTGTCTTCCTAGAAAATCCCAGTGAGAAATCCATGCATTTTCAGCTGGTCCACACACATAGAGCACACCTGTGCTGTAACCCACATGCTTTTAGGACACGTGTGTGTTCACAGTGGACTTTTGTGCACAACATCTGGGGAGCCCTGACATGTGCAGCCCTATATTGAGACTGTATTAGAATTTCCAACTCCTAAACAAATTAAATATAAATCCCTATTAAATTTTTATTGTCATTGTATTTTGTCCCCATTAAAAAATGATTAAAATATTAATTCTTTTAATTTGTAGCTATCTAAAGATAAAATTATTTTTTTAAATCACTATAAAATTTCACATCAGGCTCACAGTTCAAATATTACGTCTTTTACCATTAAAAAAAAACAAAATTCTTTGAGAAATTTCACAAAACAACTCATCAATTAGATTTTTTTTTTAGCTTTCAGGATAAGGATTATTTTAATTTAGACTTGAGGGTGAGGATTATTGTATTAATTATTAAATTATCACATTAATTATCTCTCTGTCCTTGGAATTCCATGATTTCTAAGACAGACCTGACAGGATTTCCTAAATGAAGCCAAATATTCTGTATCCAGCATTTCAGGCCAGCTGAAGGACAGTGTTTCACTGTGACTGATCAATTCAGTCACCACTGAAATGCAGCTGCAGCTCAGCACCAGCCTGTAATTGTGCAAATCAGATAAACTGGGAAGTGGAGATTTCCTTTAAGACCAAGTTTTAATTAGCAGATAGATTATTTAATTATCAAAGAGACAGGAATGCATTGTTCTTATCAACTTCTGGTGCTGGCAATGTCTGACATTGCTCACAATAAAAAACCTCCATAATCTGTATCTCACACGTGGTTTCAAAGGTTTTCTTAATAAGCCATCAGTGTTCATTGGCTACATGTTACATAGTTCTCTTTTAATTAGTGTTCTGCCTTTTACTGGTTAACGATTCTCTTGCTTCTCATACTAATTAGTGCCATGCTCAATGTTTCTCTTCTTTTGGGTTTCTTGGGTCAGTGGTCCATAAGTTGGCAGTTGTGATATCCCCCTGCCAGAATTACCCTTCACCCAGATGGAGTTGATTCAGCACCGTTGCCAGGTTGGGTTTATTAGTTCATTCCTCATCTTGGCAGTTCTGCCAGATGTCTTTGTGGCCCATCAATTGTGCATTTCCTGTGTCCACCATCATTGGCACATCCTTCTCCCCAGGTTTTAACTCCCTCGAGGTCTGAGCTCATGAAGTATGTCCAGGACTAAACCTTAACAAGGCAACTCTACCAACAATAACTTGTTTTTCTAACACCTGGACATTACTTAGAGCTTGTGAGCTGCTATTTGTTCCACTGATTAAACCTCCCTTCTTGTTGATGAGGCTTGAAAGCACGCACACATCGAACATCACAGAACACCCTTAAGGAAATGTTTACATATTCCACATTTTGCAACAGTATCAACAAACGTTAAAGTCAGTGAAGAAAAATCACTTAATTCAAAACGAATTAATTCACGAATGACGCAGCAGAGGTACAAGAGGCTGAACAGGTGAGGTGGGGGCCGTGAGGGCGGTGCTGTGGCCTGGCTGGGCCCTCACCGCGGCGTCGCCTGAGGAGCCAAGAGACCACGGACCACCTGCCGCCACCCGGACAGCCCCGGCAGCCACGCCGCGAGGTCACTGCCCCCGCGTGGCCGCTGGAAGCGCCGTGACGGTGACGGAACTCCGGGGCCGATGCCGCCGTGGGATCCGGAGCGTCCCCCCCCCCGCCCCGGGGCACCCCCGACGCCGCGGCCCCGCTGAGTCCCCGCCGCGCGCCTGCGCAGGCGCGCGCAGGCGCGCGGCGCATGCGCGGAGCGGCCCCGCGCTGGGCTGGTCGGGGCAGCTCCAGGAGCAGCGGACGCGGCCTGGCGGGGCCGAGCCCCCCCCCCCCCCCGCCCTCGGGG